AGATACAGTATGATTTAATGTAATTAGAATTACTCAAGCTTTCATCATAATTTTGAGTGCAATATTTTATATTTTGGAAGTTACTGTTCAGGTTTTTAAAAGCATGCAGCATAGAAATATTTGATACAGACATACTAAGTTTGTATCCCAGCTTTGTGACCTATAAGATGTTAGAACTTGGATAGCTTGACTAACCTTTTTAAGAAGTTCCCTTGTTTTATATATATTATATAATATAATATATTATATAATATATAATAATATATTATATAATATATATATAATATATTTTTTAGTTGTGGTTGGACACAATACCTTTATTTATTTTTATGTGGTGCTAAGGATCGAACTCAGGGCCTTGCATGTCCTAGGCAAGAGCTCTACCACTGAGCCATAACCCCAGCCACAAGAAGTTCCCTTGTTTTAAAGCTGGAAGAATAATATCTAGTATATTCAAGTATATAAGATTTCAATTGTGACCATTTGAAATAAATGAAACTGAATCACTACCTCCTATCAAACATAAAATTAATTCCTGGTAAATAACAAATCTGTATGTGAAAGACAAAATAATAAAGTTTCCAGAAGACAAAAAAATTTAAGGAGGTATGTGTATGGATATGTGAGTGTAGATATGTGTGTATGTTTAGACATGTATAAATATGTGCCCGCACACATATATGTGTGTTATGTATGTATACACACACACACAAACACACAGAGCTTACCATATTGCCTGGTATATAGTAATCCTTCAGTATTATTGACCATTAAGTAATACAGCTTTCTTTCTATTAAAGACCTAGGAACAAAGTACTTAAACAGAGAAACTATATTTTCAGTTGGTTTTCAGTAGAATGCTTTATTCAGCTCTATATAAATCGGAACATTGACAAGTATTAGTTATAAAAAATGACAAAAATAATAAATTATTAATAATAGTTAACGTCCCATGATAGACTTAATTTCTGACCCTTTGGTTGAACTTGAATCATATCTAGAAATTTAATTTGAGGTCTTTTCTATTGCCTGACATTTTGAACTGCAGGGTTGTATCTAATATTTATAAAAACTTTTGTTTTTGCCACTTTTCTAAAATGTGAATATTTAAAGTAATACTCRGGGCTGGGGATGTGGCTCAAGCAGTAGCACGCTCGCCTGGCTTGTGCGGGGCGCTGGGTTTGATCCTCAGCACTACATAAAAAAAAAAATAAAATAAAGATGTGCCCACCGAAAACTAAAAAATAAATATTAAAAAATTCTCTCTCTCTCTCTAAAATAAATAAATAAAGTAAATGCTCAGCAAGACTCGGGGACCATCTTAATACTGACTGTTCATCAAGTTTAAATGTGTATTTCCATTTATTCTGGAAAATGTCATGTGCATCATTAATTCTGCCTTTACCATGATGAGTCATTACCTATATAGAGAATGTAAACTCTACAGTAGCAAATAGGGGCATAAAATATTATAAAAACTAAGATTTTAACATTAGTTTATAAAAATATAAAATCAGTACAAGGAAATCAATAAGGTAAACTTCATGGGAGGCAGGACCATGTCTCACTCACTTAGTACTCTATAAACTATGGTTACGTGTGACATAAAATAATGAGTGAATCTGCTATTCACTTTGCTTATGTACTAATTTTTTTTTAAATGGGGTCTGGAAAACTGTAAAGCAAAAGCTAAGGGATTACTACTACTGCAATACAAAATATTAACCAACAAAAATGATTTTAATGATGTAGGATAATGGAGGAGAATCCTGAAGGACATTTACATTTGGGGCAGATTTATTCAAACTGCAAGGGAAGTCATTCTGTTAAAATAGTATTTCAGGTGATTCAACTGTTGCATATCATCCACTCTCCCCCATCTCTTGTATTGAATTAAGAAAGTCATGTCTACGAATTCTTATTTACGTGTGTGTGTGTGTGTGTGTGTGTGTGTGTATGTGTATTTTGCTTTAAAGGAAGCTCTTACTCTATAGAAATATCTTTTTCCTTTCTTCCTTTCCTCCTTGCTTGCCTACTTCCCTTTCTTCCTTGAGCACATGATGAGTCTCTTTGGTTTACATTTGCCAAAAGTCACAGGTAGTAGTGCTTCCAAAGGAGAACACATGGGTCTAGTGAAAGTTAGGAACATGGACTTAGCGTGCTATTGGTAGAGGTGTGTGCTCCATCCAGGTAATAGAGTTGTTTAGGTAAAAGACATTTCAGGGTTTACAGCCAAGACTTGATTGAACTGAGGAGTGTCCTCTCTTGCATAAACCTAGATCCTCAGCCATCTTATTTATATACTCAGATTTCTGAGCATGCAGACATAATACTCTTTGCACACACAACTGTTGTGTGTGTACTTTGGGTATCCTTTGAGGTGTTTCTCTTTCTCCTAGCTGTCCAATCCCACACAGACCTTTAACCTGGCACAGTCACTTCTAGGGAAGTGGTGGTGAGGAAAGAATATGTCCATTTTATCACCCTTTCTGGGTGTGCATGTGAGATCAGATAGGAGTGCATATGGGTGAGTAGCCAAAACTGCTCTCCTGGAGTCAATAAAGTTTCTTTGTAAAATTGATGAGGATCATCAGTACTTTTGAAAAAGGGGAGTCTATTCAGTTTTTACAAAGCACTACAAAACTAGTGATGACCCTGTAAAGACTACTTAGATAATGGGCCTACATCAGTGTTTACCAAAATATTACCTAGAGTCTTTCAATCCATCAACTCATCTTTTGAAGGTTGGCATTTCCCAGCAACTCATCTTTTGAAGGTTGACATTTCCTGGGAGCAGGGGGACGGGGGTAAAACTTTTTTAGTCTTAAAATTTAGATTAAGCCTGATTTTTAAAAATCAAAATCCCCATATCCCCCCCCCACCCCGTCCCCTACAGCTATTACATTCTTCAATATCATCTTTGTACTACAAGGACTGGATTTTGTTCATCTTTGCTAACATTCAATTCAACTATTTATGTCATGAATTTGCAGTTTTGCTTTTACATTATATCCCCAGTATATAAAAATGGATCATTTCAAAGCATTTAAAGTAAGAGGAGTAATGTAGAATTGCTGCAGGTTAAAATGACATAAATGCAAGAAGTGACTAGGTACAAATATGAAACGCGAGTTTTTGTATTCTGTTACAAGTGAATCAGCTATGTGCTTTATAAAGGCTGCCAAGAAACAAAAATGTAAAAGGACTAAGTTTAATGACATGTACCATGAGTTGTGCCAGATTTTGTTAGAATAGTGATCTCTGCCCTTATGTTTTATCTGTCATAAAATATTAAGGAACTTAAAACTTTCAAACTAATTGTGTTTTATTCAAAGTAAGTTGTTATTTTCTGGCAAACCAGCTGTGCATTTCACTATGAAATTAGTAAATTATATCACTGTTGTGGAAAATGGGACCAAAATTACAGAGGTAATATTCACAAGAAGGACAGGTGGTAAGTAGCATGGTCATATGTGTGTGAATCCAGTTGCAAAGTTAACAACCTGTGTAGTGCTTAGAGAAACATTGGAAGCTCTTACCAAAAATCCTGTATTAAATCATATCTGTTAGACATGAGGCAATATTAGTGATAGTTGTGTGGAAGAACTGGATGAATTGTAGGTAAAGTATTTGTTTTCTGATAAAACTTTTTAATTTACATAATAGGAATTAACTTAGATGAGTTGCAAATATAGAAGAGTAATAAATAATATTTTTGTTTATTGCTAAAATCTAATATTGCTGGAAAATTAATTTTTTTCTTTTTGAAATTACTACCGTATCCTATTTCCTTTAGGTTTATTATATATTTTTTTTTAATTCTTGCTCTTCAGCAGGAAGTTTATCTACTAGTTAGCCTATTATTTTTTTCTCATTTCCAAACCATGGCATATTTGGACAAATTTTCTTATTGATTTTTTATAYTGGCAGGTCATTTTTTTCTCCCATATCTGTCTTTTATGATGACTGATTTGTTCTGATATCTGTTTCAACTTTTAGTAGTCTAAGATACACTTCGTTTTCAGACTTGATCTGTAATTTCCAAAGTTGTTAGATTTATGATAAGAGCACTAACCAATGTGTTGTTAACTTCTGTATTTAYTTTCCACCCAACTTGAGCTCCTGCCATATTTGTTTATACCTGGGATTTACTTATGAGTTGAGAAGCAATTTTTAAAGTATGACTATGTAGTGTAATTTATCAAGCAATTATTATCAGAGGGAAATGCTTTTAGATTATTGAAATCCTTTTACTCTGGAAAATGTTATTCCTTCTAGATTTTTATTATTCACTTTTTCCTTATCAACGCTCTTTGATTTTAAATAATATACTTAACTTTCATTCCTTGTTCTTTGCTTTTATTCATTGTTATTGCTCTTCAGTACCCATAGTCCTCCAATCTCTCAGGTATATCTTTACTTCTTTGTTATCAAAAAACTGTTTTCTAGGAATCATTTATTTTTTTTTTTATATTTACTGTAAAATTCTAGTTTTTAAAAAAATTGGGGGCCAAGCACAGCTCAGTGATAGAGTGYGTTCCTAGTATGCATGAAGCCCCGAGTTTGATCCCTGACACTGCAGTCAATATATAGCATTTTTATGTAGTTACAATATGACTTCATCATATTTGGTGCAAATATACTCTTTTTATTCTAAACTTAAATGTGCTTACTTTATGAATTATACTTTGTTTATTTGACTATGTTCATCAACTTTATGATTTTTAAACTTCGGAGTAATAAAAGAAGATACTGCCTTTCCAGAAAAATTAATTGAGTCTTTAATTTTGTTTTACTACAGTTTCTAAAGTAATTTTTGTGGAACACTTTTACAGATTAGTTTGACAAGGCATATTGAAAACCAAGAAAATGTCTTCATATTTCATCCTTTTCTTTAAAAATTTAAATAATAAAGTATGGCATTTTGAAGTAAGCATAATCTTATTTCATCAAATGCTTTGAAATACTAAAAGTTATGCCAATATTTTTGTGTTTTCCAGATTATTGCTCGGTGGTAACAATTGTGGATCAGACAAACGTAAAGTTAACTTGCCTGTTTTTTAGTGGAAACTATGAAGCCCTTCCAATAATTTATAAAATTGGAGACATTGTTCGCTTTCACAGGCTTAAGGTATAATTCATACTTTTTATAACTTACATTCTTTTGATGAGAACTCTGCCGTTCACTGAAGCTAGTTAGCACTACTTGTTTAGTTGCTTTGTTTAGAGCATGACATCAGGTGTTTCAGAAGATAAGAAATCTAAATAGTATCAGACTCCAAATAATATATAGTGTGATATCACTTCATTTAAATGAATTTCCAATTCTTCTTCCTCAGAAATATATTAGAKGCTCAGATTCACACTAAGACCATTCTGTGTTCTTATTTTCAAATATAGATTCATAATATGAAAATTTTGGTAAAGGACAGGAGTAACAATCATAATAAATTAACTTATTTATTTACTTAATTTTTGAAACAGGGCTCTTGCTATGTTGTCCAGGCTAGCCTCAAATTCCTGGGCTCAGGCAGTCCTTCTGCTCAACCTCCTGAGTAGATGGGATTATAGGCATATGCCACCAGGCCTGAGTCAGTGCTATGATTTCTAATATCATACTAGTTTTATTTGTGTATGTTTGTATTCCCTTTATAATGTGGCTAGACACTATGGTTTTGGTTTTATGTTTTAAATGTCTACTCATGATTATGTGTTTCATCCATATTGCTTTCATGGTTTTGTTCGTTTTCATTGATAAATGGTACTTTCCTATGTGAACGCATCACAATTTTTATATTCATTCTGTTGTTTCTAAATGTTTAGGTGATTTCCAGATTGTGGAAATTATAAATATTGTTATGGACTCTTTAGTATAGCTTTTAGTTAATATAAACATATGTTCAAGCACATACCTATATACACACATACATTTTAGTTAGGTTTATACTAGCAAGTGTGGTTGCTAGGGCCTTAAGATGTACTTTTGTGTTCACCCTAAGTTTTTCAAAGTGATTGCTACCACTTTACATTGTCACTAACAGCATAAGAAAGTTCTGGTTGTTCCACATTTCACAAACACTTGRTATTTTCCATTTAAAATGTATTGTTGAGTTTATATTACTATCTCATGGTTGTAACTTGAATTTTTGTGAATATTTATGAAGTCGAGAACATTTTTGAATTCATGTATCTTCCAAAATATGAAATAGCCATTTTTATGTATTTTGTTTTCTATGGGATTTTTATTTCCCTTTCTTATCTTATTGTGGAAGTCCCTTATATATAAAGGTTGTAGATCTTTTTAGTCAAATTATATGGATTGTGAGCATTTTTTTCCCACTGTACAAAGGTGAAGCAACTGTTTTCACACATTGGACAATAGCTATCTGATCAGATAGAAAAAAGAGACTTAGGAGATGAGCCACATGATCACCACATCTCTATCTGGGTACAGTTTCTCAACAATTGCATGGCAAGCTGGAATGTAACCTGTTGTTCTACTAAGATAAGGAAACTAGGCCAAAATTCAAGACATCTAAAAGAACTTGGATCTTTAAGATGAGGTACCAGAGAGGAAAGAACTATTTATAGGGGGATGTCAAGAAGTCTATTAGTGTTAGAGATGGGGTTGGTGTCCATGAATTCTTGACTGAAAGCTGTGCTGTACATGGGAAGGACAAGAATACTTAAGGATTACAAGAGTTGCTCTCTGACAGAATTATGGTTGAACATGAAATAGATATTAGAGGTCTAGCATTGGGGATGCTGCAGTTCAGCCTACTTAGGGGTAAATAACCTTGATAATACCTCTTTTACACCTTTGACATTCAGCTGAGAAAACCGAAAGCCCTTCTTCATAAAGGGAAACATCCTAGAATAAGGCCTACTACAACATATTTTGTCAAAACCTGTAAGAAAATCTACAAAGAAGACATGTTGCAAGTGAGTCCCACCAAGATAGAAGGACTTTGGAAAACACCATGGGGTTTCCATAGATTGTGTATAACAAGGCATAAAACCAGGTCTTCTTGGATTTAAGGTGTTTAGCCATCAAATAAGTAACCATGAAGAGGTAACACAATTCAGATTCTTACAGTGTCTACCAAAGGAAAAAAGAATACTAAATAAGAATATAGGAAAATATTACCTAGAGGCRAGGGAGGAAAAAGACATTCTAAACAGATTCCTTGGCCCAGATGTTGGATTTTTTAAATTAAAACTTAAAAACAGATATTTATAGAATATATAAAATACAAAATATTAAAAAATTTTTWWAAAAAATGAAAATGTAAATGAATGAAAAATCAAATTACAGCAGAGAAATGGGAACTGTTTTTAAAAGACCTAATAGAAATTTCAGTAGTTGAAAAGAACAGCAAATAAAATGAAAAATCTAATGGACAGGCTAATGAGCAGATTAGATATATCAAGTTAATTTTCACATAGAGCTAAAGAAATTACCTAATCTGAAGGAAAAAGGATTAAGTAAAAATGAATATACCCTAAGGGATTTTTTGAAGAATATCAAGTGTTGCATTATATAATTTGAGAAGCAACAGAAAAGAATGTGGATAGGGAAAATATTTTTTAGAAATAAGGACAAAACTTTTCCAAATTTGATGAATARCATTGACTTAAATGCACTTAATGCAAGGTAGATGAAAATAAAAGACACCTAAACAAATTACGCGGAAACCAGTGTAGAAACCAAAATGAAGTATGAAATCAGCTGAAAGAGAATTGAAATATCCAATATATGGAACAATGGTACCAATGAAGCAGTTTTTAAAAAGCAAACACCAAAGAACAAAAGAAAAATAAATAACAAGATAACAAAGTACAACCATAATGATAATTACATTGATGTAAACAGAATGAACAGTACAGTTACAAGGAAAGGATCAACTGAATGAAAATTTTAAAACTGTAGGTATATGACCTACAAAACATACTTAAAATATAAAGACACAATTTAATTGAAACTAAAACTATAGGAAAAAATATCCAAGCAAGCAGTAGTCACACAGAAAATGAAATAACTACACCATSAAGCATATATTATTAAAAAGATTTTTTTAAAGAGAAAGGGAGCATTTTATAAGAACAAAAATGTCACTTCGTGAAGAAAATATAACAATTATATATCTAGTAAATGAGCCCCCAAATTCAGAAAGCAAAAAAAAATGCTCATGGCTTGTCAGCTCTCTCAATCACAGTGAGTAAACTAGCCTAAAATGCATTCATTCACAGCACACACTCATCTTTTTAAGTATTCCAGCTTTTAATCTGTCATTAATAACTGTCACTTACTATCCCTTTTTTCCTTGTGTAAATTATATCTTAGTAAAAATAATGTATGAAAACTTGGTAGTCAATGACTACCTCTTTGAAAATGTAAATATGTTTTGTACARTGTTGTAGAATTTTATATGATAACTTATGTATATTGATATAATACCAGTTGAATTTACATTTCATGTTAGTTCAGTGAAAAACATTAAAGAATTACATGCGTGTGTTAATTATGCTGGAAAAATTTATAATCTTTCACGTTTCTTTAGCTCCTGAGTTGTGGTTGATAAACTATTTTCTTAGTATCTGTTTTCTACTTTGCTCTATTTTCTTAGATTCAGATATATAAAAATGAGCCTCAGGGTATCACCAGCTCTGGGTTTGCATCTTTGACATTTGAGGGAACCTTGGGAGCTCCTGTCGCACCTCGTACTTCAAGTAAATGTTTTAACTTCACTGCTGAGGACCACAAAATGGTAGAAGCACTACGGGTGTGGGCATCTACACATATTTCGCCTTCTTCCATGTTAGTACAGTTGTGTGATGTTCAGCCTATGCAGTATTTTGACCTGACTTGTCAGCTTGTGGGCAAAGCAGAAGTRGATGGAGCTTCATATCTTCTAAAGGTACATTTAAATACTTGAAATTATAAGTTATTACCATATTTGAATTAATGAAACACTTTTAGCATTCATATGGAATAAGTTTACACTCTAATAAGAACTTAAAATTTAACTTTTTTGATAAGCCTAAATATTCATGCTATCTACACTTACTTCTTTAATACTTTCCTTACAGAGAAAAATATTATTATCAGATCTGTATTTTAAATACAGTGTGATTTATGACATATTTATTTATTATTTTAGTAGTAATAGACCTGTTTTCTATTTAGCTGTTTAGCTGTTTTCTAGCTAAATAGCTATCCTTGTTTAGCTCATGAGTAATTTTTGGAGGAATGATCTGCTATTTTTCTTTCTTGGGCATTTGAACAACATTGCTTTCACCGTGTTTTTTTTTTTTTTTTCTCTGTTCTCTGCAATTATAGGGCAAAGAACTGAGTGGAATGTTGTATCATTTGGACAAATCTTAGGGTTTAGTGTTATTATCATTAAGCCTATCCATTGTTTTAGTTAGCTTTTTTTATTGATTTTTTAAAAAATAAATAACAACAGAATGCATTACAATTTTTACTACACATATACAGCACATTTTTTCATATCTCTGGTTGTATATAAAGTATATTGACACCAATCCTTATCTTCATACATGTTTTTTGGGTAACGTGAACAACTTAAAGGAGGAAAAGTGTTTGTGGGGCTCGTGGTTTCAGAGGTCTAAGTCTATAGATGGCTGACTCCATTATTCTGGGGCTGGGAGTTGGCAATCTATGGACTAAGAATTTTGAACCATGAGCCCCCAATAAACTTTTCCTCCTGTAARCAGTTCTTGTCAGGTATTTTGGTCACAGTGATAAAAAGCTGACTGAAACACTCATATTAAGGGACAGTGAAAAACAGAAATTATTAAATAAAATATGAAGGGTTAGAAATTGAAAATAGAATCTTTATATACACAGAATACTATAAGGAAAGTTGATCAYGTCAAATATGACAAAGCTGAAGCTAAAGCAACATAAAATCATTCAAAGATAGAAGTCATGCTCTGTGGCCAATGTGATATCTTTAACCAGGGCAGTTTGTAATTATTATATATTTTCAGTGACAAGGAATCCATCTTTGGGCAGAGAGCATATTTTGACTGCTGTCCTGTTAGAAAATTCTTAAATTTTGCATTAAATTTTGTGGCTGATGATCTATATTTTTTTCTCTTAAAAAATAGTGTGTTCTTGTATCTTACTCTAATAGATAACTTTTTCAAGTAAGTAAAAGAAACTTTCAAGTAACTTTTAAAATATGGCATTAAAAAGTAAATGTAAGAAATTAAATTAGTAAATCTTGGACAATTTTATATAAGCCTAAAAGTCTTTGTGTACCTTTTGATGCAACAATTTTATTTTCATGAATATTTTAAAGAGCTGATTTTAAATGTGTACAGAGGAAATTTAAAAGAATATTTGTCTTATAGTACCAAAACTTAGGGAAAAATTCAGTAACCGTAGAGAATTAAATTGTATGAACTATTTATATGTAATAGAATGCTCTCAGACTATAAAATGGCATTGCAGATATATACTTGTTCAGATAGTTTTTTGGTTGTCTATACTGTGAGTAATATTGTTTCATTTGTTTACAAAAATATACATAAACATAGCAAAACTATATTGAAAAGCATATATAACTTTCCAGTATTTTACTGTTAACTCTGAAAGGTAGAATTATAGCTGATTTTATTTTTCTGATGTTGGATTTTTCTTATGTATCAGGAAAACATTATTAAATTATTTTTCAAAACCAGGAGAAGGCAGACCTTACCTTAAATGATATCTGGTCAACATAACTATGTAGTATCATTATTTCCTTTCTCAACCTGGGTATGATACTAGTATTGATCCCTTTTTCAGTAATTGCAATGTAGTTGATTTAATTTATTCAGTAACCATACTTTTACCAATGGTGTGCAACAAAGGCATAAATTAATAAGTCTGGAAGTCTAACATTATTCTACCTTATTTCTATTATTGTGTTTATACAGCTTGTGTTCTGTATAATACTTATAAATTAAATTTTATTTAGGTATATTCTGTTTCCTTAAAGTCCACAGTGTTGCTGAAACCTCATCTTTATATTTTTATTTTTTTTTTATTTTTATTTTTTTAGAGACAGGGTCTCATTAATTTGTGTAGGGCCTTGCTGAGTTACTGAGGTTGGCCTTGAACTTTTGATCCTCTTGCCTGGGCCTCCCAAGCCCTTGGGATTACAATATTGTGCCACTGCATCCAGCTCTTTTATTTTTTTATTATTATTGTTTTTTAAATAAAAAAGCAGAAGTCATGCATAGCCAGAGCTGATGGATCATTTGTATGTCTAATCTCTATTGTGTTTTGGAAAACATAAAATAATGTGAGCCAGAAATTGTCATATTCAAGGGATTACTGTTCAGATATTTACTTCTTTGTATGGAAGCATCATAAGACTGCTATGTAACTAAGAATGAGATGAAATCTTATATAATAATTTTATTTATGTAAATGTGAACCAAAATCCTTGATCAAATATCACCAAACAGAATCAACAGTATAGTAAAAGGATAATATACTATTATCTAGCATAATTTATTTTTATAGTTCAGAAGTTATATAATAACAGGAAAATATAGTAATCTCCATGAGTATTAAAAATTATATGCTTGTCTCAGTGAATGTTAATATATTTATGAAAACATTTAATTTAGCAAAGTAATATTAGAAATATGCCTCCCTAACTTTTTAAACAACATGTCCATCTTATACCAAACAAAATAGTTACTGATGAAATTTTAGTGTAAGATACAAAGCAAAATTATCTGCTGTCTTCCTAATTTGTAATATTGCTCAGGAAGTCTCATGAATTCAATAAGATATGAAATGAGAGATTCAATTCTTAATGAAAAAGAAAAAAAAACACAGTAGTATTTCTATGATATCAAAATTTCAGGTAACTAAAAATCTACTTATGTTAATAAAATTGTTCAATGAGTTAACTAGTTTAAAATATTTTAAAATATGTCTTTCCTGTATGTCAACAAATAAAATAACATAATTGAACAAAATACCTTTCAGATTGGCAATGAATTTGTAAAACCTGTAAGTTCTTGCAAGATATACCTAACCTTGTATGAAAATAGCTAGAAGACTTTACTGAGACATAAAAGTAAAATTGAAGCATTGAAATTTTTGATTCTTCCCTGAAGTAATTTTAAATAAAATATAATTTTAATTAAAATCACTGTTTTAATAGACTATAGTTTTGAAGCTTATTATAAATGATCAAAGAATGAAATAAGAAAGTTTTGGTAGTGCTAAGAGCCTTCTGTATCAGATATTTAAAAGTTTTAGAAAACCACTCAAATTAATACTAAGTAGTGGAAGAGATGAAGAAACTCAGAAATAAACCTATATTGTACATGCAACAGTTTATTTGTTCTTAATAGCAGWAATTAAATGTATGCCTTTAAGTAGCCACACTACTCTAAATATGATGTATATTATTTATAACTAAACAATTACTAAATATGAACTATGAGTAATTTGAATGTAAAGAAATACGAATCTCCCTCCTATGAGCCTAGAGGAAATATGAAATACTGTTAACCATATTTTTTTCTTCCATGTTTATATAGTATATACATATTTTTAAAATAGCATTCAAATTAGTCAAGAAAAGTTGTTTAAAGGTGGTTATTATCTATTTGGAAAAAAATTACATATAATTTTTATAAATATACAAATACCTACCAAATTGAATTTTGATGTGATGTTACAAAAGTTACATAATTAAAATTATGTGTGTGTGTACGTAAACAGGCAGTTTACTCCCAAACAATGCGAAAGTCCCTCCTATAGTGAACAGTTCACATATAACTTTTTACTCAACAAAAACTTAGCTACTAATGGCCTTTTATTGACCAGAAGCCTTACAACTAACATAAACCATCAACACATGTTTTCAAATAGATTTGTGTATATTTTATGGTAGTAAATGATAAAATAGACATATTTACATAGATTCAGTGCATTCACAGCATAGCTTTTTCTTCATTTTTTTTTTTCAGTTTCTAGACTAGGTGGTTATTTTGCAAGTTCTTTTTCTCAAATTATCATAGCTCACCTAAAAATATATATGTATATATAAGTGAATTCATGTTTTTCAAGGGTTAGCTGTGTGTGTGTGTGTGTGTGTGTGTGTG